CTACATACGTCTTCTCTCACCCGAGCCCAGTCACGCTAGCCAATACTGTAAATACCGAATTACAGAAAATATCTACCTGGATGAGGACTAACAAACTTAAAACTAAAAAATTGACAAAACCTACTTCATTCAATTTGGTAACAGAGCTACAGATGTACCTCTTAACATAACGATAAACAGATCACCTATCACAAAATTCTTAGGAATCCACCTTGATAATAGACTCAAATTTCATACACATATACAACAAATTTCTAAGAAAATTTTCCAGACTGTAGGCATACTAAAGGAAGATACGGTACTATGTTCCACAGTCAGCCCTCCTGGCCCTTTATCACTCTCTTATTTACCCCTATCTCACCTATGGAATTTGTGCATGGGGCTCAACAACAATTAACCATCTCAGACCACTAATTACCCAACAAAAGGCTGCAGTTAGAATGATAACAAATTCTCACTACAGGCAGCACACTCCACCAATATTCAATACACTAAACCTACTCACCATACAAAACATCCATACTTATTACTGCACCTATTACATACATAAAACACTTAACTCTGATATTAACCCTTCCCTCAAACATCTCCTTGCCAACCTCAACAGAACACATGACCAGGGGAGTATTGATGAGTGATGAGACACTGTTTTTCTTGAACACTGGGATTTTCAGAGTGATACATCAGTAAATTCTTCACTGTGCAGTCCCCACTAACATTACAACAAAACATGAGAGTTAACCTGTCTTTCATAGGCTTGTGTCCTGGGAGTGCCTTTTCCTCCTGAGTAATGTAGGTCCTGTTTGGCATTTTCTTCCAGAACAGGCCTGTTTCGTCATAATTGAACACTTGTTGGGGGATGAATTTTTCAGCTTCACCATGCCTTATCACACTGTGTGTGCCACTACAATTCTTAAATCTCTCAAACCAACCTTTGCTGGCCTTAAATTCACCAATATAAGCACTAGTTCCAGGTATTTTTTCCTGTTCACCTGGGTGTTAGTTGACTGTTGTGGGTCGCATCCTGGGGGACAAGATTAAGAACCGTAATGGAAATAAGTTAGTCCTCGATGATGCACTGACTTTCTTGGGTTATCCTGGGTGGCTAACCCTCTGGGGTTAATCGTTTCTCGGTAATTGTTTCACATTAACCCACACCAACAACACTCTCTCCACATCTTTGAGTAGTACAGCTGTTGGTGGTGCAGCAACAGCTGACTGTGGTGGAGCAACAGCTGACTGTGGTGCAGCAGCAGCTGACCATGGTGCAGCAGCAGCTGACTTATCCAGCAACAGCTGACTGGTCCAGCAACAGCTGACCGTGGTGCAGCAGCAGCTTTCTGATCCAGCAACAGCTGACTGGTCCAGCAACAGCTGACTGTGGTGCAGCAGCAGCTGACTGATCCAGCAACAGCTGCCTGGTCCAGCAACAGCTGACTGTGGTGCAGCAGCAGCTGACTGATCCAGCAACAGCTGACTTGTCCAGCAATAGCTGACCGTGGTGCAGCAGCAGCTGACTGATCCAGCAACAGCTGACTGGTCCAGCAACAGCTGACTGGTCCAGCAACAGCTGACTGGTCCAGCAACAGCTGACCATGGTGCAGCAGCAGCTGACTGATCCAGCAACAGCTGACTGGTCCAGCAACAGCTGACTGTGGTGCAGCAGCAGCTGACTGATCCAGCAACAGCTGACTGGTCCAGCAACAGCTGACCGTGGTGCAGCAGCAGCTGACTGATCCAGCAACAGCTGACTGGTCCAGCAACAGCTGACCATGGTGCAGCAACAGCTGACTGATCCAGCAACAGTTGACTGGTCCAGCAACAGCTGACTGGTCCAGCAACAGCTGACCATGGTGCAGCAACAGCTGACTGATCCAGCAACAGCTGACTGGTCCAGCAACAGCTGACCATGGTGCAGCAGCAGCTGACTGTGGTACGATACTATTTATCACCCTTTTTACCACAGGGTTGGCACTAGAAGCTTTCTTTGGGCCCATGGTGACTTATTTAGCAGTTACAAGCACTATAAATAATGGAATAATACAAAATGTATCGAATGTATGCATGCAACCGGCCACCCTGGCTTGTAAACAATGACAGCAAGGCAGCCGAGACATTCAGGCTAGACGGACAGGTTCGGGATGAGTCATGTTCAGAAACAGCTAATCGTGGTACAACAGCAGCTGACTGTGGTGCAGCAGCAGCTGACTGATCTAGCAGCAGCTGACTGATCCAGCAACAGCTGACTGGTCCAGCAACAGCTGACAGTGGTGCAGCAGCAGCTGACTGATCCAGCAACAGCTGACTGGTCCAGCAACAGCTGATTGTGGTGCAGCAGCAGCTGACTGATCCAGCAACAGCTGACTGGTTCAGCAACAGCTGACCGTGGTGCAGCAGCAGCTGACCGTGGTGCAGCAGCAGCTGACTGGTCCAGCAACAGCTGACTGTGGTGCAGCAGCAGCTGACTGATCCAGCAACAGCTGACTGGTCCAGCAGCAGCTGACCGTGGTGCAGCAGCAGCTGACCGTGGTGCAGCAGCAGCTGACTGATCCAGCAACAGCTGACTGTGATGCAGCAACAGCTGACTGATCCAGCAACAGCTGACTGGTCCAGCAACAGCTGACCGTGGTGCAGCAACAGCTGACTGATCCAGCAACAGCTGACTGGTCCAGCAACAGCTGACCGTGGTGCAGCAGCAGCTGACTGTGGTACGATAGTATTTATCACCCTTTTTACAACAGGGTTGGCACTAGAAGCTTTCTTTGGGCCCATGGTGGCTTATTTAGCAGTTACAAGCACTATTAACAATGGAATAATACAAAATGTATTGAATGTATGCATGCAACCGGCCACCCTGGCTTGTAAACAATGCCACCGGCGTAACAAGTGAGGCTGGCTCAGGCCGCACATGGACGCGTCTCGGACGAATTGCGTTGAGCGAGTTTTTTAGCGCTAGGCGAGGCAAAACTTTTGTGTTAAAATGTATCACTAGGCAGATTTAACGTTATGTGATGCCAACGTTAGGCGAGGGTCCACTGTAATAATAATAATAATAATAATAATATCTTTATTTACTACACGTACATGTACAAGGTATACAGGCTTAGCTGACATCAGTGACATACTACTGTATAGAAAGCCGCTTGTTATGCTGAGTATTTCAAGAAAATTAGGTCAGTGTCCCAGGATAACACCCACACTAGTCGGCTAACACCCAGGTACCCATTTACTAATGGGTAAACATAGACAATAGGTGTAAAGAAACATGCCTGTTTCTATCCTGGGTGGGAATCGAATATTTACCAAAAATCATATATGGCTAACCTAAGCCAGGTACTAAAAATAAGCCACGTTGACTTTTTTGGGTTATCCTAGGCTCTCTACACATATGCTGCTATGTGTGATAATCTATATAGAGAAAATAACGTTTGCTTCATGTTTATGGTGCAGTACGAGTGTATATACACAAATAACCCGCACATAAAAGACAGAAGCTTACGAGTGTATATGACAGTTAGCCCTGTGCTATACTCCGTTTTCTCTAATATAAGCCCCCAAGACAGGGATAGGAGAATGGTATTTGTATACCATATCCTCTTCATACCTCCGTCGAGCTGCTCGGTGTTATGCCAAATATTATTTATTCTGGAGTATTCACCTAAAATTAAATAAATATTGAATAACTATTTCATAAATGTATAACCCGTGACCCTATCAAACTATGTTTTTAATTGTAATGCTACAAATTTGTACAACTATAATGCATCATAAGTGAAATGTTCAAATTTCATTGTTTAAAATACTCAATTGTACTTCATATTGTAAATTGTTTACTGTAATTTTTGCCAATGAATCTATCATTACTTAGTTAATCTAAGTTTATTTAAAAGCCTGCCCATAATGCTCTGCATACAAGGGCTCTTTGGCATCTACAACCCAACGACTATAATTCCTTGTACAACTATGTATCATTGTCCAAAATAAAAATTATTAATGTATATTATTATTATTATATTATTATAATTTATTATTATTATCATCATCTTCATTGACATTTGGCAGTTCCTAGAATATTCCCTCCGTCTTCCCAGTACCCCAACCCTTCAAAATCTGTTAATTTCCATGATTTTATTTCCTTTTTCCGGTTATAGAAGCTTTTGTGGCCATGGTCACATTTCAGAAACCACCGAAAACACTGTAATAATACAAAATTCCGAGTGTATGCTTGGATGTTACCGCGGAGGCTGGCTGTAAACAATGGGCGGCCGGCACATGTGAGGGACATTGGACCGTCTTCGGACGAAAATCGGTATGCGGGTTTTTAAATCGGTATGCGGGGCAAAAATTTGCGATAAAAGTAATCGTTATCGAAAAAATCTTGCGAGCCATCCGTTAAGAGGGGGTCCACTGTTTGTATACCATATTCCTCTTCATACTCCGTCGACTGTTCGGTGTTATGCCAATATTATTTTCTGGAGTATTCACGAAAATTAATAAATACTGAAGAACCAAATTTAAAAAATTACATAACCCGTGACCCTATCAAACTATGTTTTTAATTGTAATGCTACAAATTTGTACAACTATAATGCATCATAAGTGAAATGTTCAAATTTCATTGTTTAAAATACTCAATTGTACTTCATATTGTAAATTGTTTACTGTAATTTTTGCCAATGAATCTATCATTACTTAGTTAATCTAAGTTTATTTAAAAGCCTGCCCATAATGCTCTGCATACAAGGGGCTTTTGGCATCTACACCCAACTACTATAATTCCTTGTACAACTATGTATCATGTCCAAATAAAAATTATTATTATTATTATTATTATTATTATTATTATTATTATTATTATTATTATTATTATTATCATCATCTTCATTGACATTTGGCAGTTCCTTAGAATATTCCCTCCGTCTTCCCAGTACCTCTGACTCCCTATCTAATCTGTGTATATGTGACTGATTTTTAATTTGGCCTTTTTTGTGTTATTGTAGGTATATATGTGGCACAGTGGAAGAGCATGTTGAGAACATTGCAGACAAGTATGATGCAGTGATTGCATCTGAGGTCTTGGAACATGTTGAAGCTACTGACTACTTTATTCAGGCATGTGCAGATACCATCAAGGTTAGTAAATTTGCGCCATACTTTAGTGTATGTATATCTAATTATACAATTATATGTATACAGTGGACCCTCGACCAGCGATATTAATCCGTTCCTGAGAGCTTATCGTTAATCGAAATTATCGTTAGTCGAGTTAATTTTCCCCATAAGAAATACAGTGGACCCCCGCATAGCGACTTTAATCCGTGCAAGAGGGCTGATTGTTATGCGAAATGTTCGGTATGCGAATGAATTTTCCCCATAAGAAATAATGGAAATCAAATTAATCCGTGCAAGACACCCAAAAGTATGAAAAAAAATTTTTACCACATGAAATATACATTTTCCTACACACAAAGAGAAGGATACATGCACAATAATAGAGTAGTACATGCACAATATATATTGTGCATGTACTACTCTACTAAATGAAGAATAAATGACACTTACCTATATTGAAGATGCAGCAATGACTGATGAGACACTGTGTCCTGGGAGTGCCTTTTCCTCCTGAGTACTGTAGGTCCTGTTTGGCATTTTCTTCCAGAACAGGCCTTATCACACTGTGTATGCCACTACGATTCTTAAATCTCTCAAACCAACCTTTGTTGGCTTTAAATTCACCAATATGAGCACTAGTTCCAGGCATTTTCCCTGTTCACCTGGGTGTTAGTTGACTGGTGTGGTTGCATCCTGGGAGACAAGATAAGGACCCCAATGGAAATAAGTTAGACAGTCTTCGATGACACTGACTTTTTTGGGTTATCCTGGGTGGCAAATCCTCTGGGGTTAATTGTTTCTTGGTATTCTCAATAAGCCACACCAACAACGGTGCTACAGCAGCAGCAGCAGCTGACGGTGGTACAGCAGCAACAGACGATGCTACAGAAGCAACAGACGATGCTACAGCAGCAGCAGACGATGCTACAGCAGCAGCAGACGATGCTACAGCAGCAGCAGACGATGCTACAGCAGCAGCAGACGATGCTACAGCAGCAGCAGACGATGCTACAGCAGCAGCAGACGATGCTACAGCAACAGCAGATGATGCTACAGCAGCAGCAGACGATGCTACAGCAGCAGCAGACAGTACTACAGCAGCAGCAGCAGCTGACGATGGTACAACAGCAGCAGCAGCTGACAGTGCAGCAGCAGCTGTACCACCAATAGTAGCGATGGTTGATTGGGGTTTATTATACAACCTGGCCAGCTCGGAGACACGCACTCCACTTTCATACTTATCAATGATCTTTTTCTTCATCTCTATAGTAATTCTCACCCTTATTGCTGTAGGGTTGGCACTAGAAGCTTTCTTGGGGCCCATGGTCACTTATTTTCCAGAAAAAATCACCAAAAACACTGTAATAATACGAAATGTTCCGATTATATGCTTGGATGTTACCGCGGAGGCTGGCTGGTAAACAATGCCACCGGCGGAACATGTGAGCGTGACTCAGGCCGCACATTGGACGCGTCTCGGACGAAGAGCGGTGAGCGGGTTTTTGGGCGGTATGCGAGACAAAATTTTTGCGAAAAAAGCGAGCGGTATGCAGATTGTACGGTATGCGATGCGTGCGGTATGCGGGGGTCCACTGTAATGGAAATCAAATTAATCTGTTCCTGAAACCCCAAAGTATTGAAAAAAAAAAATTTACCACATGAAATATTAATTTTAATGCACACAAACTGAAGAAGACATGCACAGTTACATGACACTTACCTTTATTGAAGATCTGGTGGTGATTGATGGGATGGGAGGAGGGGAGAGTGTTGATCTTCTTAGTGTTTAGAAGGGGAATCCCCTTCCATTAGGACTTGAGGTAGCAAGTCTTTTTCTGGGGTTACTTCCCTTGTTCTTTTAATGTCACTAGGACCAGCTTCAGAGTCACTGGACTTCTGTCGCACAACATATCTGTCCATAGAGGCCTGTACCTCCCGTTCCTTTATGACATTTCTAAAGTGTTTCACAACATTGTCAGTTTACAGGTTGCCAACACAGCTTGCAGTAGCTGTGTCAGGGTGATTTTCATCCATAAAGGTTTGCACTTTAAGCCACATTGCACAGATTTCCTTAATCTTAGAAGTAGGCAACTTCTTCAATTTCTCTATCCCCTCCTCCGAAGCAGTTTCCTCAGGTCTGGCCTCATGATGATGAAGATGATCTAGCAGCTCATCAGTGGTTAGTTCTTCATTGTCCTCCTCCACCAACTCTTCCACATCCTCCCCACTAACCTCCAATGCCAAGGACTTCCCCAATACCACAATGGATTCCTCAACAGGCATAGGATTCTCAGGGTTAGCCTCAAACCCTTCAAAGTCCCTTTTGTCTACACATTCTGGCCACAGTTTTTTCCAAGCAGAGTTCAAGGTCCTCTTAGTCACTTCCTCCCAAGCCTTACCTATAATGTTTACACAATTGAGGATGCTAAAGTGATCTTTCCAAAACTCTCTTAGAGTCAGTTGAGTTTCTGAGGTCACTACAAAGCACCTTTCAAACATAGCTTTTGTGTACAGTTTCTTGAAGTTGGAAATGACCTGCTGGTCTATGGGCTGCAGGAGAGGAGTGGTATTAGGAGGCAAAAACTTCACCTTAATGAAGCTCATGTCCCTAGAAAGTCGCTCTGCCAAGTCTGAGGGATGACCAGGAGCATTGTCTAATACCAGGAGGCACTTAAGGTCTAATTTCTTTTCAATTAGGTAATTTTTCACAGTGGGGGCAAATGCATGGTGTAACCAGTCATAGAAAAAGTCCCTAGTGACCCATGCCTTACTGTTTGCTCTCCACAGCACACACAAATTAGCCTTGGGGACATTGTTTTTCCTGAACACTCTGGGAGTTTCAGAGTCATACACCAATAAAGGCTTCACTTTGCAATCACCACTAGCATTGGCACACATCAACAGAGTAAACCTGTCTTTCATAGGCTTATGTCCTGGGAGTGCCTTTTCCTCCTGAGTAATGTAGGTCCTGCTTGGCATTTTCTTCCAAAACAGGCCTGTTTTGTCACAATTAAACACTTGTTCAGGTTTCAGTCCTTCACTGTCTATGTACTCCTTGAATTCCTGCACATATTTTTCAGCCGCTTTGTGGTCCGAACTGGCAGCCTCACCATGCCTTATCACACTATGAATGCCACTTCGCTTCTTAAATCTCTCAAACCAACCTTTGCTGGCCTTAAATTCACTCACATCACCACTAGTTGCTGGCATTTTTTAATTAAATCGTCATGCAACTTCCTAGCCTTTTCACATATGATCGCTTGAGAGATGCTATCTCCTGCTATCTGTTTTTCGTTTATCCACACCAATAAGAGTCTCTCAACATCTTCTATCACTTGCGATCTCAGTTTCGAAAACATAGTTGCACCTTTGGCAAGAACAGCTTCCTTGATTGCCGTTTTCTTGCCCACAATAGTAGCGATGGTTGATTGGGGTTTACTATGCAACCTGACAAGCTCGGAGACACGAACTCCACTTTCATACTTAGCAATGATCTCTTTCTTCATCTCCATAGTAATTCTCACCCTTTTTGCTGTAGGGTTGGCACTAGAAGCTTTCTTGGGGCCCATGGTGACTTATTTTGCAGGTGCAATCACTACAAAGGCTGTGATAATATGAAATGTTCCAATTGTATGTTTGGAAGCAACCGCTGTGGCTGGCTGTCTTGTAAACACTGGCACCCATGGGACAAGTGAGGCGCGCTCAGGCCAAAGTGGATGCGTCTCGAACGGAACGAATAGCGTTGGTTGGGTTTTTTAGCACTAGTCGAGTCTAAATTTTTGCGATAAAATGGATTTATCGTTAATCGATGCCATCATTGGCCGAGGGTCCACTGTATATACATTCACAAATGAGACACTAGGCTTTACTTACGCTTTAAATGGATGCCACTGAACTTTAAGCCCTTGGTTTAGAAACTGGAACGATTGTTGATGTAGATTGTTTGCAGAGTGCAAACAAAAGATAGTCCTATCATGAGTAAAGCAGATGCTGGGAATACAGTGGGATGCTGTGGGACTCAGTAAATCACATGCAGAAACTAAAATTTACCAATATTTTAAGAGTTAAAATAGTGTATGGAAATGTAGTAATGGCATCGTGGGAAGAAAGTGATATGAAAAATAGTATTGTATCTACAGTATTTAGGTAAAATATGAGAATGACAAAGAATGCTTTACATGTTAATATGCTAGGACTGACTATAAATGATTTTATCTGGGTTCATTAAAATGTGTGAAACTCCTTTCAAACTCTGCAAGTATTATCACATCTATTTTAAAAGTAATGGATTTTATCTTCTACAGCCAGGTGGTTCATTCTTCTTGACAACCATAAATAAGACTGCGTGTGCATGGGTTGGAACCATTGCCATTGCAGAATATTTACTTCATCTGTTACCTCCTGGAACTCATGACTGGAACAAGTTTATTCCTCTTCAAGACCTTCTTTTAATGCTTGAAAAAAGTTAGTACCATAGTAAAATAACCTATCAATTATCCATGTTAATTTCTTTGAAGCATTCCAATTATTATTATTCCTATGCAATCCAAGCATGTCATAAAAGGCAACTAATATGCCAGAAGTAAGGGGCTAGTAACCCCCTTCTGTATAAATTACTGAAAGGACAAAGAAAATGCCAAAGGTGGGTTCTTTGGATGTGAATGGTTGTGGTATGGATGTGAATGTTATGAATGAAAAGAAACTGAATGTCCAATTTCGAAGCAAAACTGAAGCTGCTAAAGGGTGTAGGAGAATTTCAGTGGGGAGTTGTAAATGGGATTAGATCAGGTGTAACAGAGAGTTATAGCTAAGTAAGGAGCAGCAGTAATATTAAATGATCAGTTATGGAAAGAAATAAAGTGAATATAAGCCTAAATTCAAGAATTCTGTGGGTTAAGATAAGGGCGGGATGTGAAAAGTGGGTAATAGTAAGTGCTTATACATATAAGAGAGAGAGTGATTCATTGATTGATTGATTTTGGGAGATGTTCAATGAGTGTTTGGGGAGTTTTGAACCAAGTGATAAAGTAATTGCGATGGGGGACCTAAATACTAAAGTGGGAGAAACTGTTGTAGAGGGAATGCCAAGGTCAGTGATAATGGGGCACCTTTAATTGAGCTATATATTGAAAGAGGCTTGGTAATAGGTAATACATATTTTAAGAAAAAAGGGGCTAAATACAGGAGGGCCCTGATTTTATGGCGAGTTAGGTTCCAGGCTGTAAAGCGAAAAATTGCTGCAAAGTGAATTACTCAATTTTTTCCACTCTTAACCCTTAGACTGTTTCGGTCATATACAGCCTCTCCTCACTTAACGACAGAGTTAGGTTCCTAAGACCCCGTCGGCAAAACGAATTTGTTGCTAAGTGAGGAGCGTACTATAATGGTAGTGGATTTGTGTCAGCTATCTTTAACCCTTTCAGGGATGGTGCCATACTAGTACGGCTTGCACGCCAGGGTTGGTGCCGTACTAGTACGCATGAATTCTGTTGCCTTCAAATCTAGCAAGAGAAAGCTGTTAGGCCTACATATGAAAGAATGGGTCTATGTGGTCAGTATGTGCAGTATAAAAAAAAATCCTGCAGCAAACAGTGCGTAATGAGAAAAAAAAAACTTTGACCGTGTTTTTGGTTAAAAACAGCGACTTTGCACTGCATTTTCGTATGGTATTTATGGTTGTATTCTAGTTTTCCTGGTCTCATTTTATAGAATGGAAAACATATTACAGAAATTGAGATGATTTTGACTGGTTTTGCAAAGAAAAGGACCTTGAAATTGAGCTCAAATTAGCAGAAATGTTCGATTTTTGCCAAGGTTCAAAAGTAAACAAATCATGCCATGCTTCCAATACACGTCAACTGGTGAGTCTGATATTCTTTCACAAGTGCGCTGATGTTATTTATACCATTTCTACATTAATGCAGTAAACTGCATAACAGTAAATCTTCTATTTTTTGTGAGAATAAAAATTCAAAGTGAAAAGCAAAAGAAATGTAACAGAGGCATGGGGGCATGACTAATGAACAGAGGAAATGTTATTTTAGTGCCAGAAATGTCTGTCTTGTTTATTCTGGATCCTATTTGGAAATTGGCATCTTTTGAAATTTGTGTGAATTTGGCAAAATTGCCAATTTCTGACCACTTTATTGGATAGTTGAAATCGGTAAATGGGTGCTTTCTTGTACTCTTTCGATAGAAAACATGGAGTTCTAGCAAAATAGTTATGATTTTTGTTGATTGGTACATTGGAATTGGCTAAAAATAGGGCTCAAAGTGGGCGAAATCGCTGATGCGTAAACATCGTTGAGACCACTAATTTCGCGAGAGCACAATTCCGTAAGTTTTCCATCAAATTTCTTACTTTTGGTGTCATTATGATTGGGAAAAGATTCTGTTATCATTTCATAATAGTAAAACATAATAATTTTTTTTTTTTTTTTTAAAATTTCCAACCCTGAGAACAAGTTTAGGAGAGGGCCTGCTGACCCTGAAAGGGTTAATATTGTTTTAATGTCACTTTATTTTTAAAATGTTTATTCAGCAGTGTACTGGATATTGTAATTAACAGAATTGAGGAAATCAGCTCTAATATACATTATTTAGGTATAAATACTGGTCAGAGAGCCCGTCATAAGTCTGAGGCATTGGTAAACGAGTACTGTGTCGCTAAGTGAGGAGAGTCTGTATACAGTGGACAATCAGTTAGTGCCTTTAATCCATTCCAGAGAGCTAGGCTTTAACCGATTTAGCTTTTAACCGAATTAATTTTCCCCATAAGAAATAATGGAAATCCCATTAATCCGTTCCAGACACCTAAAAGTATTAACCCTTTGCAGCAACACACCTAAAGCCAATAATGACAGAACAAAAAGCTGCAGTAAGAATAATCACTAAATCCCATCCCTGGCAACACCCCCCCCCCCCCTCTTCATAGAGCTAAACTTACTCCCTGTTCAGAACATCCACACTTACTACTGTGCAGTCTACATCTACAGGACCTTAAATTCCAATATTAACCTTGACCTAAAATGCTTTCTTGAGATTTGTGACTGGACCCACAGACACAACACTAGACACAAACATCTCTGTGACATTCCCTGTGTCCAACTAAACCTTTACAAAAATTCAATGTATGTCAAAGGCTCTAAAATCTGGAACACCCTACCTGAAAACTCTAGAACTGCAGACACATTCATCACCTTCAAAACGACCATTAGAAAACATCTTATCTCCCTGATACACCCCGTCAACTAACTACATGAAAACCACCTCGTGGTTCAAATTTACACTCACTCACTCACCCATTTGACTATAAACACAGAAATACGAATCTTAATCTTAAAATAATGAATCCTAACTAGTCATAAGTTTGCCTGTGATACTCCAATATAGAAACTATGTATTGTGCCATAACAAAAACATTCACATTGCTAAACTCACAAACTAGTATTTAGTCACTTAGCCATAATACCAACTTACTCCATAATTTGTGATAATTTAGTGTTAAGAATTAATCTAAATCTGCCCGAAATGCCTAGCCATGCTAGGTGTCCTAGTGGCCCCCTCTGTAATTAGTATTTTATTACATGTAAACCACACAATGACCAAAATCTGTAAACCCCGCATTGTAATCCTTATAGAGAATAAACTTGATTGATTGATTGATTGATTTGACTGTTGCAAGCCCCTTTCTGAAACTGTCATTCTATGTCGAAAAATTTTTTGGAAAAAAAAAAAATTATATTATGAAATGATAGAAAATCTTTTCCCGATAATAATGACACCAAAAGTATGAAATTTGGTCGAAAACTTACGGAATTACTCTCCCGCGAAGTTAGCGGTCTCGGCAACATACACGCATCGGTGATTTCGCCGACTTTGAGCCTTATTTTTCGCCAATTCCATTGTTCCAGTTGACCAAACTCATAGCTATTTCTTTATAACTCCATTTTTTCTATCAATTGAGTACAAGAAACGGCCCATTTACTCATTTGGACTACCCAATAAAGTGGTCAGAAGTTGGCAATTTGGCTAATTTCATGCAAATTAAAAAAGATTCCAGTTTCAAAATAGGGTTCAGAATAAACAATGTAAACATTCTTGGCACTAAAATAACATATCCTCTGTTCATTAGTCATGTCTCTAGGCCCCTCTTATATTACTATTGCTTTCTAGTTTGATTTTTTATTTATACAAAAAATTGAAGATTTACTGTTATGCAGACTACTGCATTATTATAAAAAATTAAATAAAATCGAATCAGAGTTTATTCTCTATAAGGATTACAATGCAGGGTTTACAGATTTTTGTTATTGTGTGGTTTACATGTAGTAAAATACTAATTACAGAGGGGGCCACTAGAACACCTAGCTTGGCTAGGCATTTCGGGCAAACTTAGATTAATTCTTAACCCTAAACTATAACAAATTGTGGAGTAAGTTGACTAAATACTAAGTGACTCAATATTAAGTGACAAATACTAGTTTGTGAGTTTAGCAATGTGAATGCTTTTGTTTTGGCACAATACATAGTTTCTATATTGGAGTATCACATTATGGCTAGTTAGGAATCATTATTTTAAGATTAGGATACATATTTCTGTGCTTATAGTCAAATGGGTGAGTGAGTGTAAATGTGGACCACCAGGTGGTTTTTATGTAGTTAGTTGATGGGGTGTATCAGGGAGATAAGATGTTTTCTAACAGTAGTTTTGAAGGTGATGAATGTGTCTGCTGTTCTAGAGTTTTCAGGTAGGGTGTTCCAGATTTTAGGTCCTTTGACATACATTGAGTTTTTGTAAAGGTTTAATCGGACACGAGGCTTTAGGAAAGGTAGGGGGTGTGTGGACCAGGTGTTTACAGTGAAACATATAAGTGAACAGTATTTAGATAAGGCTAAAGAGGTCTTTGTGGCATTTATGGATTTGGAAAAGGCGTATGACAGGGTGGATAGGGGGGCAATGTGGCAGATGTTGCAAGTGTATGGTGTAGGAGGTAGGTTACTGAAAGCAGTGAAGAGTTTTTACAAGGATAGTGAGGCTCAAGTTAGAGTATGTAGAAAAGAGGGAAATTTTTTCCCAGTAAAAGTAGGCCTTAGACAAGGATGTGTGATGTCACCGTGGTTGTTTAATATATTTATAGATGGGGTTGTAAGAGAAGTAAATGCGAGGGTCTTGGCAAGAGGCGTGGAGTTAAAAGATAAAGAATCACACACAGGGTGGGAGTTGTCACAGCTGCTCTTTGCTGATGACACTGTGCTCTTGGGAGATTCTGAAGAGAAGCTGCAGAGATTGGTGGATGAATTTGGTAGGGTGTGCAAAAGAAGAAAATTAAAGGTGAATATAGGAAAGAGTAAGGTTATGAGGATAACAAAAAGATTAGGTGATGAAAGATTGAATATCAGATTGGAGGGAGAGAGTATGGAGGAGGTGAACGTATTCAGATATTTGGGAGTGGACGTGTCAG